AGTTGTTCGCGGAAAATTGACAATATATCTATATATATATATATATCGCCTAAGTCACTATTATGACTGTCGTATATCACCCGGCTGGTTGAGCACTAGTATTAAACCAAAGGTTTCTTAGAATTACTATTATTTCCTAACGTTGACGCTGTGGTTGCATGAACCACTCAGGGAATAAGAAGGCTATCTTTCTGGTTCGCTAGTTCTTGTGAATAATAGTAACGTTGATTCACATAAAATAATAATAAATCATATATAAATAAACAGGTTTAAAATAAAACCGTTTTGTGTTATTAATTCTTACCTAATAATCTTATTTGTAAATGACTTTACTAGAAGTGATAATAATTGCAATTCACTTGATTAATGTGGCTTACACATCCTAACTGTTGTTCATGAAAGTTAACGATATGTATGTATATATATATATCGCCGAGACCACAACGAGGTCGAATTTTGACTTGAGAACGGACTTTAGAAACGTGACCTATCGAGCCTTGACGTACTTTTCAGTTTGGATATTTCTTTTGGTAAGTTAAGCTTTTGGAGTTGTGTTTTACTATTTACATCATTTGAACTCCTTGGTGTGTAGTGCTAATTCGGTCTTTCGGAAACATTCTGTAGTGGAGCGACCTGGAATCTTAGAACCTTCTGGAAAGCCTATTCATCAATTCACTAAATCATTTTCTCGAACTGGTACTGACCCCACCATCTGATGCTCCTGCATTGCCCGCTTCTGCTTTGGATTTCCTAACATTTCATCTACAGTAATCACACCCACAGTTTCTTCTCTGGCATATACTGCTGTAAACTTCAAGTCGTTAAGTTTCATCCTGTCTTTGCACTTCTGCTCCGATGACTCGGCCTCCTACACCCTCTTCGTCGTCCACCGGTGGAACAGCGGTAAGTCTATGGATTTATAACGCTAAAATCAGGGTTCGATTCCCCTCGGTACACATAGCAGATAGCCCGATGTGTCTTTGCTATTAGCAGTCTTCACGATGACACTGTTGAGGGTGGGAACAACTTGACAAATATCTGCATGAGGAGTTCTCCAGAAAAAGTGCACAAGTGAAGAAAAATTGAGAGTCCATCTTAGAGAAAATAAATACCGAAAACTGTAGCATATGACCTGTACACATAGGTGTAGATCATAAGGGATTAATATACGAAAAAGAGTGTGTGCGTGGGTGATTTAAAAGTGACAGTTAAGATCAGAGTAATTAGTTTGCATATTTAATTGAAACACTGTCTTGGTGGAATAGCAGACAGAGTCTAGAACAAATGATCACTGAAATAGATAAAGATTTTGTAGTTTGAGAGTGATGATGAGTTGAAAGAAA